CAGCTGTATGCCATTCATTACACTTATTTGCACTGAGGCGCACTTCACCGGAATTTTGGGGAGTTCAAAAATGATTTGCACAATTATTTTGTGTTCACTGGAACCATTTACTAATTATACTATAGGCATTCCCCGCCAATGTCCATGCACGTTTGCCGTGATTCTGGAAGTTTCCATATTGGCATAGCCTGGGTGTATCCTATTGGGCAACTGCATGAAGATCAATGGTGGTTAACTTCTTCCCCCGCGTGACATCTTTCATCGCGTCGAATAGAGCTTAGTAGCCGCCGTGAGCGGGCACCGGCGAATATGGAGGACTTTCAGTCTCGCGGCAGCATCATGACTCGTCGACAGTGACCAGAAGCCGAAAGAACTCCGCTGGACCTATATTGTACTGTTTAACCAACTGTCGGCCCATCTTCACACGATTCTGTTTCTGCGCCCCGTTTCCCTCACCATTGTAAGGGTACGGGGGTACTCATCGTGTACACATCTTCAAATCCTCATTGATGATAATGTGGAGAATCGCCGTGCTGGCCCTTCTCTAATTCATCAAATGAGATTCGACTGTTCGACATTATCAAGTCGTTGATGCGCCGGGCATGGGGCATGGGGTTGATGCGCCGGGGTTGGTGTGCAGATGCTGGACGCCCAGTGCTTTTGCATTTTCAGCACAGTCCCTTGCTGTCTTTGTACTCTGATACCCCAAGAGACACGGATCTACGACTGGTAATGACACCCCATACATGGCTACTATCCTCTTGAAGATTACTGAAGCGGCCACTCCTTCCCTCCAAAAAAAAGTCCACTGTTGCCTATGCTTGTCTGCTTCCGTGTTACCATATCGATGTCCTCCGACTTACTGTCGAGCCGGAACGATGGCTGCTGCAATTAGCTACCAATGGGAAGCAGCAACACCAACTACTGGCTGTATATAGTACCTTAATCTATTTTCATGCGTACAGGAACACTCATTTCAAATTGCTACTTTCTAGAAGTTATAGGAAGACTACCAATCAAAATCGAGCGACCTAAATATTTCAATGAAACTGTTTATTATGAGTACCACTCGTATGATTCACTTCACTAGTCTATAATTTTGTATCGTCGCAATGCGACGCCCCGCTTCTCCGTTACGTATGTGCGTAGTAAAAACGGTTTCATCGCAACAGCTCTGACACGGTCGCAGCAGAGTTTGCCTACGTCTCGCCCCCACTGTCGGGCGGAGGGTGCGACCAGCGCTGCCCGGCGCGTCCCATGCGAGCCCTGGGGAGCCTCCAACTGCCGCTCCAGCCATGGGGCGGCTCACGGCACGAACGGTGTCACAGCAGAGCCACTGACCGGGAGGGCGTATGCTTCCGCTCCCGACGGTGGCACGATTTTCGAGTTTAGCTAGATATCTAGTTCAAATCAAGTCGCTGTCTGAAGGAGAATTCTACCGGCCGGCTGCTCTGATCGGTAGTTTTCATTAGTTTTTCGGATCAATACCTAACGAACGGACCAAGAACGGCGTGCGATCTTTCCTTCCGACCCCCTTACACAAACTTACATACACACTGCACTTTCACACATGCCAGAAGATCATTCAGGAGTTTAGAGCTTGTCGTAGCTGGGGCGGTGCTGCGCTGGTGGGAAATACCTAGTTAGGGAAAATCCCTTCACGCCATCGTAGGTCGACGCCGCCGCATCTAGCCAGCCCTTGGGAGTAAGATGACCCCTCCCAAGGCGAAAGAAAGCACCACAGTTATGGGACGAATGACCTTGGCAGTAGACGCAGTCCGAATCACCAACCAATCTATCTAATCGTTCAATCTACTCTCACCAGATGCAGACATTTTGGCGTGGACAACGTGCAAGATGGGTTGAATACCTGGGTCTACCTTTCTAGCCACTGGGAGAATCGAAATAGTTACTACATTGTAATTAAAAATGCTACAGAATTATTCGGTTCGTTAGTCCTGTGACCATGGACGTAAGATGGAGATGGGGTAAAGCTAAAATTCACTGAATTGCAAGCGTCAATTACATATGATGAGAAAAATCCAAATTTTTGCTACCTCTGGTTATTTTGTTGATAACACTTCAATTACAAAATCCAGGACACCCAAACTTTCGTACTGGCGTGTTTTGTTGGCCTTGCCTTTTATTTTCGAAAGAGCACTTCCATAGTCACCTGTAAACCTCATAAATAATCACCTTAAGTACTTTTTGGAAACTTTGTATTAAAAACTTTAGTTGTCGAATATAATAATAACTAAGGCAAGGCTCGTCCTCTTCACACCGTCAAAAGCTTCTCTTCGAATTTATGAGACCCATTTCTTTTCAGTCGAAACTATCATATTCTTTTGAAGTTTTACCATACTGCATAGAAATAAATAGAACCCCGATAACACATCTATAACTCTGTAAAAGCGCCCCCGAATTTGGGGACACTCCAAAACATCACCCCGTTTCTCACACGTGTACATACAGAGTTCGAACGTCGCATTTCGTCATGCAAGGTCGGGAACCGCCAACAGGCGAAGATCGCCGACCGCAGCGATTAGTAGCGCTCACCGCCGCACAAAGGGACGCGAACCGCTGCGCCTTGTCGAGTCACCGAGACCGGGCGGCGAGCTCTCGATTCGATGCAACTGAATCACAATTCGATGTATTCGAACCTCTCTTCTGATTCTAAGTAATGTTGTTTAAATGGGCTTGTATATCGATTCATTATTGAATTCTTGTCTAAAATATTTAAAACGCAATACTGGCCTATATATTTCTAACGAATTGGTTTTCCGGGCGAAGTACTGAGGTATTTAAGAACACTGTAGTTTGAACGGACAATGGATTACAATGACTAACATGCAGGTGTTCGGGGAGGAAACGCCTAAAATTGGAAAATAAGCTCTTAAGACAAATGTAAACATATTTCGTTCCATAAACTACTTTAAAAATCTGAATTGCTGAGCCGCAATAAGCATTTAAAAGTTGGTTTGAAAAAAACGATTTCAAGGTAAAAAAAGAGCAGTTTCCTCCCCGGACACCTATAACGCGCAGAAGCAACCCGCAACTCGCTGCACGGCACGTAAGTCGGAAACTGCGTTTCAGAGCGTGAAAATCCTATTTTCGTGTCCATTCAGGAAAGCGTTTTGTTGTTTATGCCATAATCTACAAAATGAGACATTAAGACGTTTTATGCTATGTTTCGCGTTTATAAGAAAGATGCTCCACTTCATACGAGTACGTGAAAAGAATATTAATAATAATAGTACGAATTTTCGTACGTGAACGGTATTATAGTTTTAACAAAAGATCGTACTGATACTTTCATTTTTTACTTAACATAATATTACACAAAAGCAAAGGCATACAGGAAACAATATATTTGACTTGTGAAGGAATTTGCTCTGCTCTCGATGGGCGTCACGAGACCATTCCCTTGCACTTCTCAGGAATGAGGGAGGGGGAGAAGCCCCTTAGGCCAACCACTGATGTAACTTACAATAATGAGCTGCAATAACACAAAAACCAGTTATTGTGCTATAGCTGATCCTATGTGCTCAAAATACTTCAATTAAATGATTAAAACGTTACTCAAGAATGGAATGTCAGTGTAAAAAAAATGGAATTTCAGAGCCATTTCATAGGCACAAAGGGACTGGGGCAAGGCACAAGCAATCTTGGCCCTCTCCCCAACCCTTCACGTTCACTTCAACTTTGAGGATTTCCACTGGCACGTTTAAACGGTACGTACTTTCAGCTCTGTACTAAAAATACATTCTCAAAAAACATGAGAAAACGGTTTAATTTCGTTTAGAAAACCAGACAATTCAAAATCGTAAGTGAATGAAAAAAGAATTGGCAGAGGTACTATATTTGTTTCGTAGATAAAATAATTCGGCGAGATCCAAGTTTCATGTCGTCAGACAACTAATCACAGTATAGTAGGCGTGGGTTCCCAACCATCTGACCAATTTGAAAGGTTGTAGAGCCCATCTGAAGTGCGAGACTTCAACGCTCTGTATAGAATTATACGCTACATAAATGTGTTTAGTATTTTATTGATTTTAAATAATTAGTAAGTTATATTCCAAACTAATGGTAGAAATACCGTCAGTAGCCAAATGTCGGCAGACTGCCTTGTTCTGCTTGGCTAGGGATCGTCAGGTAATCGAAGTTAAGGAAGTACGATCCCTGGGCGCCGTAGGATTGACGACCGCTCCGGAGCCCCAGTTGCTACCTGCCCGAAGGAATAGAAAGAAAGTATTCCCTTTCACGTTTCGTATATTTTCACTGCAATGTGTTATTCAACGCAACAATTCGTTTAGTTATCTCCAGAAGATGCCATTCGTCACAGGTACGACCTGTTTAGTGAACGTTACTATACCTGCATTCAGTGAGCACTTCGTTCTTCCAAAATGTACTACACCGGTTAGTTGAATATACATGATTAATTCTATTGACTAAACATTTCTCTCCGTGTGCACATGCATACCATGTGCCTGAAGATTTTTTTAAAAGAACTCTCTCACCTTCGCACGAGCCCTGGTTCGCACTGTATTATGTCAGACACATGCACATCTATATGTTGCTTATCATTGTCCAAATGTTTTGAAGGACTTCGTAGTGTTATAAGCATTTAAGTGGAAATTTAATGACGTAAACAGTTTCTCAAACACGAGTCAACTCCCCCTCTCGCACCAGATGCTACACGGACGAGAGCACTATGACTCAACAATTCACGATTAATAAATTAAAATACACATTCCGTAAATAGATCCAATAATATCACACACAAAAATGCACGAATCTACAGAACACTACCAATGTTTATATGGTTTACATCATTAGATAACAATAAATAAATGAAAGTATTTTTAAGAGAATATCATCCTGAACATGTTACAACCATTAACGATATTCTGAGAGTATTAGCAAAGAATGTCAGAATTACAACGCAAAACAATTGTACTGCCACGTGTGAGCGAAAGAGAAAGAGCGAAGCGAGCACTTACCTTGGCTGCCACGATGCTGAGGCCCATGCCGTTGTTGGACTTGTTCAGCTTGATGAGCTGCACCTCCGGCTCCTGCTGCAGCAGAGGGTAGCCTCCTGAGCGGTTGCTCATCGCACTGGGGCTCCGCGCCTACCACACCACACACACATACATACACACTCATACGCCCTCGCCACCAACCCCGTCACGTGCGCTTCACTCGCCAAGCCAATTTCAACTTTTCTTATTACCTCTACTTAGATTTCCATCATGGAATATCTTAGGGCGCAATCACGTACGTGCATGCATGTAATGTAAACATTCTCTAGTTGTGCTGATGCTAATGTGACATATGTGCATTTTTTAATACAAGTGAAACTGTATAGGGAAAATCTTCAGAATAAATCATACATAATACAAACACCTTATACAAACTGGAGATGAAAAAATAACATTTTTAAGCAGAAAAAGGCTGCAAAACTCGGTTACTTTCATAAAAATATTAAAGCGTAAATTCTGCATCAAAATCATTCATACGTCTTAAGTTACAGAAAATTTTAATTGTTAGGGGAAATAATTAATTGTGTTATTTATATACAACTCGCATGGTAGTTAATGTGCCAACAACCACTATCTCTAAATTCACATGATCCGATTGTGAACTGCGAACTCTTGCAACAGTTCCTACATTCCGGAAGATACAGCGGAGTTCCCTATTTGAGAATCTTTTATTACCCCATCGCATAAGCGTGGTTGGATGTACAATGCGAATTTCTATCAATGTCAGTTTTTCATTTCCATCTCTTGCAAAACAAGATTTGTATTCGTCGTTACGAACTGATATTCCCGAAGACTCGTCGAACATCGTGGAACAAAATCTGGGCAACGCTTCATTTTCACATTGTCTTTCGATTCCTATAATGGAGGAACCCATATATCCCAAGTTCCCGGGACATTCTGGGATTTTTAATAGTTGTTCCGTGTCCGCACAGATCGTTTTGGGGTGGTAAAATGTCCCAGATTTTTACTAATACACAAAAGTTCGACAGGTTCTGATAACATGTGCGATTATTTTGAATGCTTGACTTTCACGGCAACATTTCAACATCACATCTTTCAATCTATTGTCTGTACTTAGAGAATTTTTAAACAATTTATGGGCAAAAGGTTGAGCTGCGCTCAAACTGAGTGCAAAGCCAAAGAATTTTTAATCTTCCTTATGAAACTTTAGTATATCTGGTTGATCATATTTTTCACGCTGGAGAAAAGTATGGTATTGTTCATAAAATAACTGGTATCTCAGCAGACACAACAAATACCAATTTTGGAGGGACGAAATGGAAAGAAAAGAAAAAATTCTGTACAAAAAATTGAATAGAAATGTGAGTAATCAGGAGAATAGCTGCCTCACCCTGCTTATAAAATATACAAAGCTTACAGTGCTATTGCCTTTATGAGAAGTTCTCTCAAAAGTCGGGGAGGTTTATAACCCATGTGAGCCCCTTAGCAAAGCGAGACCGAGGGTCGAAGGTCGACGCGAACACAGCGTTGGACCCATCGGGTAGCGGCGTGCGACAGCGTGGCCCGCTATTGTTTCTTGGGTAAGAAGGGCTTAAGTAACTGCCAGGGTCTAATACATACACTGGGAGAAGACTTTCTTTAATGCATTCACCGAGGACACAGGAAAAACCAGGCTCCAGCTAAACAGGGTCTAATCAGTTTTAACCCTCAAGACACATAATAAACATGTCTTGCTCAGAATTCTATGAAATAACCTCTGGAGACCAAAAGTTCCTAGAAAAAAAAATATCAGCCAAGTACTGTGCTACCAGTGTGCAGAATAATGTAAAAAAAACAAATGCAAGCAGAAGAGCCATAAGCACCAACAAGCTCAAATAATTAATACAGAAGTAACAGAACCTGGTTAGTGAGAAAAACTTTTATTAATTTATTAATTAAGCTTTTTAAACAAATTTATTTAATACACATTTTAACATGCTTTTTAAGTTTTGTTACAAATAATTAGTCTTGGTTTCATAATTGTCACTTCATTTCTGACATAATGCACTGGTTTTGAAAGTACCGATAGGAGCAAATTATTTCCCTGTTCAAAAAATATTTTAAACAACGTTATTTTGTTTCGCGACCCCCCCCCCTCCCCATAATTGACCGTTGTGTCTCGGTTTGTAGTTTCAAAAATATGGGATCCCTACTACAATGCAATTTGTTCGAGATTCATTTTACCGGTCCATCAAACATTTGGTCTGAATCACAGGCGATTGACGCAGAAATAGTACGCGAATAGAAAAAATATTGGACGCCGCTTTCAGTACCATCTGCAAGCGAAAATTGCCTAACCTGAAGTAGCTTCCGATCAGCTGATCATTGACTAAATTTTTTTATAAATAAAAATACTAAAATAATATTCTACAATTCAAATTTTAAAATTTTATTTAATTTGATTGCAGATACCTTACTTGCATTTGCCAGCATTGTATTAATTCCAGAATTTTCCACTTAATTCACTATAGGCTTGAACTAACGGCCATCGTCATTCGCTACAGACCTTTGTTACATATTATTTCTACGAGGGGCAGCCAAACAGTAATGCCTCATATTGTTTATACTTAGATAAAATTAGTTACGTGAAAATTTGAAATTTTGCATTATTCTTCAAATCTTCTACAATCCACCGTTGTAACTTTTTGCGTCGACATGTGACAACACACCAAACGTTTACAATATGGCCAACATCGATGTTTGTATGAGACAGCGTGGTGTAATTGATTTCTTGAATGCAGAAGGTGAAATGCCCATTCGCAATCGTGAAAGACAGAAAAATGTGTACAGTGGATTTCAGTACTGTTGGATGAACTGTGTCGCATTATCTCCCTCACTTCATCTGAAGTCACCCAGCAGGTACCGAGAATGATTGTCATCGATTTGCCGAATATTGCGTGAAGTGACTGCAGATAAGAAGAGATAAATAACGAAAATTAATCCACAACTTCAAATTTTACTCTGTTCTCCAAACCATATAAAGAATCTACTTTCATGAGAAAAGTAATTCACGACTTCCCCGAACTATTTGTGCAGCAGAAAGCCACACGTATCCGCGAAGAACTCTTACGAAAGCTTGCTAAAATGACCAAACCTTTAAATATTAAAAACTATGACAAATAACGCACCTCAACACCAGGGCGCCTACAAGCGTTTTGGGCACAGCAATAAGGCGAATCGGTGGCTTCAAGTTAGTGATGTGTACTGTAGTGTCGTGCCACGCTCAAACCGCCGGATGTTGAACAAAAGGGCGGGTATTAGCGCACTGGGGCTTTCTGAGACGTAGCGGCCCAGGCGGCTGGGGAAGAAGCAATGGGGGGCGTGGGTAGAGCCAAAGGGCTATATAACCAGAGGAACAAGTGCCAGTCTTCTTGTGCTAGCGGCTTCGCGACAGGTGATGCGCAAGTTGTCGTGTATGTCACCTAGGGCGAGGGCCGGCCATTCATTGTCGGACTGAGAGATCGCGTAAAGGTCTCAACGTAGAGCGTGCTTCATACAGGACATCGTGGTATGTTGCGATGTGGTTGCCGTCTTAAATTTTTCTCCTGTAGGGTCTATTTATTTAGTTATTGTGAGCAGGGTAGTGTTAAATTGAGACTACGGTCTAGATTGTTAATAAATCTACTGTTTTACAAACCACTCTTGTCTGTGTTTGATCACACCCGTATGACGCCACAGTATCATATCTCTGTATTTCTAGCTCAACGGTTGCATCACTGTACACATTTTTCAGTCTTTCACGAATGTAATGAACATTAAACATTTTTGTAAGATTTAATATGGTTTTCGTCATGACAAGGAAGCTTGAAGCGAACAGATTGTTTGTCTATTTCACAGGAAGATTATTTCCAATCATCTACTTATATTTTCCAAAGATTGAAGACCTCGGGAATAAATAAATAAAGATAACGCACAATCCTGAATTTTTGAGCCTACATCTTTGAAACGAGGTTTGTTAGTATTTACAACAGAGCAATTTGGCTTATTATAGAATTTAAATAATGTTATGCTGCTTATTGCAGAATATTCGTGAACGATTTGTACCAGGTCTAGTTCAGGGATTTCCAACTCTTTTCTAGCATCCACAGCCCATAAAAGAATTGTTTGCCTCATCGACCCCCTTCCTGCTTCCATTTTCGCCATAATAATCAGCTTAATTATAATTGTTATATATAACGCAAAGAATAGATAACTTAAAAACAATTTCGCGTACCAATATTTTCGTAAAATCTCGATTTTCAATCAAATACGCATCCGTTTATCAGTAGCCGAGTTAATCTACATTTTTGTTCAAATGTTACAAAATGTTAAGTGTTTTGTAAGAAAACGCCATAACATTTCTGCAGGGTGGCGAAAAAGATTTGCCCGATGAATGCAGTCTTTAGAAATACCGTAACGTTTTAGTTCTTAAATCATAAAAATATCCTTTGAAGAATTCGTATTCATCAATCTATGATAATTAATAGTACACTCTGCATTTATTAATTAATTTTATAAAGTTAAGACTATTATAAAACTCAAATGAATTGCTTACTTTTAGTGTTTTAGAAACAGTGTTGGATAAACTACCGAAGCGAGAAAGATATCGTTCATCTGGAAGATGAAGTTATTAATATTTAATCGCAAAGTACCAACGAATGTATATGTAATTAATATTTCTTAGAATCTTAAAACCTTCAGCCTAAAAATATGCCCTCTTTTACCTGAACCCGCTCGCTTCAGCCTTGCGGGTCTGAACGTTGCGCCACTAATCTTGGGTTTTCTAAACAAGCAGTGAAAAAACTAGATGTTCAGAGACTCTGGGTAGAAATTTGAAAAGAGGCCCCTTATCGGCGGTTACTAAACATTAAACTAAGACTTTTATGTCAAAGTGTCGTGAGAATACGAACAAACAATTAGAAAATAAGACTGCAAGCGATCATTTTTTTGCCGAACCTCATCTGCGGGGATCATTTCTAGAGGCTCCTGACTAGTCCCTGGTTGCACCAGTTGCATTAGTTGCACCAGCCTAGCTACGCCTATAACACCAGTCTAGCAACGAAAAGACACAAGGGAATTTCTATTGTATTATGGTATGTTCTGTTGCTTTATATCATAAAACATTTATTTACACAGTACGTATATATTAATACTTTTTTGTAATCAATGTAATCTTGAACTTGACTATACTGATCAGTCGCCAGTTTGCCTTCTTTGACTATTGGCCCCCCAATTGACCCCCTGGCCATCATTGACCCCTTTCAAAATATCATAGACTCCCTGGGATCGATAGCGACCCCATAGGGAATCCTCGGTCAAGTTATGTACTTGTTTACAAGCAAATAGTCAAAAATTTCATTTTGGGGGTTATCATTATTTACACCTTATGATTTATTCATCTCAGGAAGCCGTTTTCTATTTCTTTGTATTCAGTTTTTCCTCACATGATTAGATATAAAATTAATTTCACCAATTGTCAGAGAGAAATCAAACAATAGTTTAAAAGGAGGTGTACCAATATTCCACATGCATGTTTCACATTCACCCACACATCCATATCAAAAACACTTCAACAATGTGAACATGATATCAATATACCAAACTATTATGCCTCATCAGCAATGGACCAACAACAACCTAACAGAAGAGTGAAGGAAAGGAAGACAATCATATCATTTTTTTTTTTTTTCTCTCTCTCTATGCTCTCTTCAGGAAATGATCAACCACAAAGGGATGAAAGACTGGACATTAAGTTCTGAACTGCATTTATTTTTTCCCACAAAAATTTGAAGATGTGTTTTGAGGTTGTTGCTTCAGAATAAATTCAGTAAAAGTTCTGTTACAGTTCTGTCCTCATGGGTTTTACTGTATTACTATACAATGCTTTTCTTGAAAATGTTTAGAAAACTTTCACCTTTGTCCATTTTGCAACCAAATAAATATACGTGCTTCAATTTCTCTGAGCTACTTCTATCTCTTTTCTTCCCTGCATTGCAATGTTTTCATGACCTATATGGATTCACCACTGTATTTTCATTATTTTGTAGTACTGCCAAAAGTAAATGCAAAAGAATTCAAGGTGACTTGTTGGTAAACGCTGAAATCAGCCAACATGGAGCATCTTTTTTAAGGAATCGTACCATTTTGAATAGTTTTTTTATGGTTTAAGAAAAAATTTAAACGTTATTTACTGCAAGTTCACACATTCTTTTTAACAAAAGGAGCAACAACAAAATTTTTAATTGAATAGTTTCATTAATGAAAAGTTAATATAGATGAGTAGTTATTGCATCTCAAACTACTGAACCCAAGGTGGTATTTTCTATTCTTCCATCAATAATTTTTCTGGAAAGTGTTAGGAATTTTTATCCTTTTCTACGCCTGGTCTGAGTTAAAGAGAAATAAATAGTTAGCTTTTTTGGGTATGTGAGAAAAGAAGTAAGTGTTGTTAAGCGAGTTACAATCTTTTGAAAAAATCAAATGAGGTATCCTCTTTAGTACAATTAAGAGATATTCAATTCTAGTCAAACTCCAGTTAAAGTTTTTACCTCATCTTAACTTTAATTAAGATAGTGTTTTAAGTGAAAGTGGAAAGAAAAAAAAAGACAGTACAGTGCACTTTTATTAGAAAATGTAAGGTGTTATTCTTACTTAATATTATATTACAAATATTGTAGTGTTTTATATCTTTACATTATAGTAAATAATTTTCAAATTTGGATATAGTTTGGGTGTGCTATGACTATTAACTGGCATGAATAAACTGGGCGTGCCACATCTATTAACACGAATAAACAGGAATTTATCATGCTGAAACCTGTGTCATAATGTGAATGATGAGAACTAATAAATAATGGGAACTATGAGAATAGTTCATGAAAGATTACGATACATGAATGTTAGGCAGTAGTTTAAATTATATTAAATATTTGAATTTGATTTTAATTCACACAAATTATAACTTAGTAGTATTGCTGAAATAATTTAAGTAGAAATGCATATTTAGCCATTTTTAATTTAAAAAATGGAATTGTTAAAAAAAAGACTAACTAATTTTTTATAGTAAAACTATTTTATATTATATTTTAACTATATTATATTTTATATTATAACTATTTTTATAACATAAATTAACTATTTTTTTTTTTTAAAAAAAAGTGACTACACATGAGAAACCACTGGCAGCACTGGGCATATTGTTGAGAATATTGTAGTAAAACAAACAATAGTCTTATTTGTAAAAAACAATCAATGCATTAATCCTTTGAAGAAAATTATTTAGTCTTGAATATCCCAGAAATGTACAAATGCACGAAGTTAAGCTGTAAAAACTCAAAATTTGTACATACCCCTAATATCTGTTCAGGGGGAGACATGTAGATAGTCCAAAGACCAGAAGAGGTGGGCTGCGTTGTGAGTCGACATAATCCAGCATGTTGCAAAGGAGCCAAGAATTCAGCCAAACCCTGGGGAACACCCCTCACCACATCACAGCTGTACCCATCCTCAGGCAGCAGGAATGGTAGCTGTAGCTCTGCCTCCTCTTCCAACCGCACTTCGCGCCCATCAGAACGAGCCAATTCATCTGCTACATTCTCAGCCACCTACAGATAAACATAATTTCATACATTTTTACCTATTTCTGTAAAACTGAATATCTTTTGAATTTCGAAATTATCGATTAAAAATATTATTATCGATTTAAAATTTCAATTAAAATTCACATTATTTTTAAGGCAAAAATATATTCAGGATTCAAGGCTAGCAATGTAGTTTGTGCCACAACTATTTATCATAAAAGCAAGCAAACACTGATATAGACTAATGATTTAAATACACTTTTCATTAGACAACAACAGTGCAAGATACCCAAAATGTTGCACACATTTGATGAACTTAGAATAAAATAAAAGAGTGAAAGAATGTGGAGATACATTTAGAGTCAAACAAGGGAATGCAAAACACAGTTACAACATATGCAACAATGGAATTAAGTTGAGAAAATTTATCCAATTTGTCTGTGAACACTTTGATTGCCATCATTTATATTTTTGAAATTGTAGAGTAATGTTCTACCTTGATCTTTTGTATCTGTTAATGAATTAACTACTTAAAAATTATTTTATATTTTTCAGCCCTTTTGAAGCAAAATCTGCCTTTATCAGGTATGAAAATTAGCAAACGAAACTTGCAACTGATGGCAATTACAATATCATACAATTTATATAATTAGTGTAGGACATGGCAACAAATCAAGTAAATTAAGTAATCATTTGGATGCATGACAAACTGATTTGTATAATTACCATTACGACATTGTCAATGAGGTCATGAGGTAGCCGTGGTTCATCTGGCGCTGGTTGATATTTCGAGAGGAGGGCTCTGAGCTGCAAGGAATTCAGTTTGAAGCAGGTAGAGCTGAGAGTGGCCAAGTCGTCAGCATTGTACTTGGGTGCCTGCAGAAGATGCGCAGCCTGGATGATCCGAGCCAAGTGGCAGTCCGCTGCCAGTTCCAGACCCTGCCTTTCGGCCCACACCTCCAACTGTGCCAGCTTTGCTTTCAGTCGAAGGCCCCATTCCCTGGTGCAGTAGCAAATTCCTGTCCCGTGCACTCCTGGGGATGATGTCACTACTTTGTTGAATGACCACATGTTGACAAAGTGAAAGAGTTGAGAAAAAAGTTGTATGGTAAGAGCTGCATTGACACGACATCGACGAAGAAGATCCATGGCAGAAGATAGAACTTGCAACACCTTGAACAGAAACATTTGTATTATATGATTATCGAACTTTAAATTCTATAACCTTAGATATTATTTAAAGTTATATTTATAAAGACATTTGAAGGAATTAAGTACTGTTGAAAGTTAGTAAGACAACTTGAAGTGAATATATAAGGTGAACAGAACCACACTAACTTCAGTAATAAAATTGAATTTAAAAAACGTTTTTGATATGAACTGCATTAACATAAAAATATAAAGTTGTGGAGTGAAGTAACACAATATACATGCATTTGATAATTGTTATAATCACTCCTTTCTTCTCCATTGTACTAATCACATTCAAACAATCAATTTATTTAAACATAAAA